GTTTTGTAAAGCTTTCAGAACATTTCCATTCCCTAAAGTGCAGCAGTGATCAGAAGTAAACAGTGTAAAAAGAGCACCATCCTTTGAGTTGTCTTGTTTTCCTTTGACTAAATTTGATAGATTGAGGAAAAAAGACAATGAAAATGTATAGGCTCAGGTAAAATAACGTAAACCAGTGTACACATAAAAACCCACACCTTAAAATCCTGAAGGAAAACCAACCACTATTGAATCTTTAAGAAGTCGGTATGGTAAAAACTCTCCGTTTACTTTAAGAATCAGAGGAGCCTCATCTTGGCGGCCTAGTGGTGAAGGCATTGGGCTTGGATCCCAAAGGTTTTGAGTTCAAGCCCTTCTCCCACAGACTGCAATTCTGGGTCCCTGAGCAAGACCCTTAACGCCATGCTGCTCTGGGCGCCGCACAACGGCAGCCCACTGCTCCCAAAGGGGATGAGTTTAATGCAGGGAGTGAATTTAGTTGCTTTGTACTTGTGATTATTCAATTTTTTTTGTCATTACAGTAACTATAAGCAATAGTCCCCACTATGGTATTAAACCATCTTACTAAATCTGTCTAAAATAAATCTGTCCAAGTCTTAACCAATGCTCCAGACATTTTGCCGGAACACACTGGCTCCAGCATTTTATGGACTGATGAAAAAAAATATTGTTTGTTTTGGGGCCTAAGGACTACAGTGTCTCAGCCACCAACTAAACTCTGAATGAAAGCTGGTTTAGGCATTATGATGTGGGAATGTTAATAAAGCCATTTTATTGCATATCAGGAATAATGAATGAGTTCATCAAAATACTGGAAAAGTGCATCAGGGATGAAGAGTTCGAAACCCTGTTCTTAAAGTACACTGCTTATATTTTAGACACAACTCAAAGTCTTTTTTGCTAATTTCAAAGAAAAGATATAAAACCCTGAAACTTTGGGCACTTTATTCTTACATCCAGCTGACCTGGTTTGTCTCGTAAACAGGGATGAGAGTTCCCAGGTGGCTGACCTGTTCCTGAAGAAAGGGCATTATTTAAAGATGTACTCCACATACATCCGCGAGTTTAACAAGAATGTGAACCTACTGGAGGAGCAGACTAAGAAGAACTCTGCGTTTGCCGCTGTTGTCAGAGAATTCGAGGTAATCCTGCCAAACCTGTTCTGTTTCAGCTGTTTGGGGAGGCGTGTCTTTGTTGGTGGCATTTTATTTGTTTAGGCCAGAATAGGAGGATGTACATTTGCACATGAAAACTGTCTTCTTATTTCCTTTATTTTAGACGAGTCCTCGTTGTGCTAACTTGGCTATAAAACATTATCTGCTGAAGCCAGTCCAGCGGATTCCTCAGTACCAGCTGCTGCTCACAGGTAAATCCAAAACAGATGACTGGTTTTCAGAGATGGGAAGTAACGAAGTACAAATACTAACTAATAGGATTTTGAAAGCTGTAATAATGTT